CTAAAACTAAAATAAAACTAAAGATAAATAATAAATAAATAAATAAATAAGTGTTCTCAGCACTCACAGCTACAGCTGTGAATGGTCGATCAGCTCCAGAGGGGCCCTGGGGGAGAGGCCCCAAAGCAATAATATAGAATCTACCATGAGCTCTGAAACCACGGAGGGGCAGCAAACCTTTTGAGAGAGATCAGCACTGACCATCAGTTTTCCTTTTCTAGAGAACTATTTTCTCTGGCAAGCCCTCATCTCTTATCACATCCCCAGACCCAACTCCCAGCCTCAGCTTTAGAAAAGTGAATCTTCTTTAAAGAGCCAACACTTGACCTGGCTGGCTAAGGGGTAGAGTGCTGTTCATTCGTCATGGAAAATTTCCTAAGGAAAAGAAATGCATTTATCTTAATTCTTCCCTTATGTTTATACGATTCTTTTCCTGAGGACTTCTACTCTTAATAGAAAGGAGAGAACGAGGAAGACAAGAAAATCTTTGAAGAACATACTTTATAGCCCTATGTACTAGGTCATGGCTGATAAACCAAGCCCCTTTAAAAGACTTGAGAGCAGAGTAAATTTAGATTTCCTTTATCTCAAATAACCAGGGCTGTGTGCTCAGACCATTCCCTGGGTATATTCTCCTTCTTTGGAGGCCACCTATTTCAGCCCATTAGACTTGCCTAAGAGGTTGTCTCGGGGTTACCATTGCTTCCCAGGACTTTAGCTGAACTCTGGGAAAGGCAAGCTGAGGGACTATTGAAAAACACAGACATGAAAAATGGAGCTAGTATAAACAACAAAAATTTACGTTATACAACTGGCAGAGGTTTGCCAGGGAGGATTTTGAGTGCTGGAATATATTTTTAAATTTCCATGAATAACTTAAGATCTAGGTCAAGCCAGGGGCAAAATAAAATAAAAATAACGAAAATAAAATGAGAGAGATACTGATTTGATTCATTTTCCCATCTGTGAATACCCTGAGATGTAAGCTAAGGAGAAATGCTTGTTAATTTGTGCAAGGGATTTTTTTCTCTGGTTTACTGTGTTATCCTTCCTTTTGGCCTTTGTCACTCAGTTTCAAACATCATAGTACACTGATGCTTTAAACCTGCTTTGCAAATGCTCATGTCTAGTAGTTTGCTTTCTTCTTCAAGCTCAAACCTTTGAGTTCTCAGGCCTTCCATTAGCTTCATGAAATGCACTTCCGCATTGCCCTTGATCTGTCTGTCCGCTCCTCAACCCTACCCTTCTATCACCTTAGCCTTCTAGCCCCCTAGAGTTAGTTCCACGTGGAGTTCTGAAGACACAGGTCAAATTTGCCTTTTGAGCTTTCAGACCTCTCCAGCCCTGTCTCCTTTTCTTTCAGGGATCTAATGATCATACTACATCCCATATCCATGCACAAATCACCAGCATTTTCCTGGACAAAATTACCTTTCTCAGAATCCAGGGCTTAGCCTTCTGGAATTCTCTGTATCTGCTTCCCTCAGAAATCCTGGTAATAGGTAGGAATTCGAAAACAATAAATTTAGGCCAAGTTGTTAGTACCTGAAAACTGACCTCATAGGTGAGCCAGTTGAGCACTAACAATAACAATGCAATTTTTGATTTCATTCTGTCTCATTCTATTTTCACAGTCACCCTGTGAGGAGGCATAGAAACATATTACAGATGGCTGAGGTCTCAGTTAGGGGCAAGACTTGTCTAAGGGGATGACAAAAGCTTCTCACCCCACTCAGAGTAAAACTAATCTCCTTAGCATGGCCTTCAAGGTCTTTGGTGGTCTGCCCTGTCTTTCCCTCTCATCTCATTTTCCATGATTCTCTGGCTCTTTACTTCTTTTCATATTTTCTGCTAAAGTATAATTTTCAAAAGTTTAAAAACATCACTTTCATAAAAGTATAAATTCCCCTCATTAATTAATGAGGGAATTAGTAACCTGTTAATATTGTTACAAAAAAGAATGTGAAGAACAAAGTATGTAGGGTAACAGAAATGTTGGCATGAATTTACTAATAGATGCAAAACTGGCTAAAATCCAATAGGAAAACTAAGTATAATGTTTGGAGCAATAAGATTGACAAGGCTTTTAGTTAGAATAATAATAAAAAAAAAAAAAAGGAAAGAAGGCTCAAATTATAAAGTCAGAATAGAAGAAGAGATATCATTACCAACCTTACATAAATAAAAAAATTCATAAGGGAATGCTATGAACAACCACATACCAATGAATTAGATAACGTATCTGAGTTAGATAAATTTTTAGAAGACACAAATTACAGAAAATTACTCAAGAAATATAGAAATAATGAATAAATCTTTAACAAGTAAAGCAGTTGCATTAGCAAGTTTAAAATTCATCAAATATTCAAAGAAAAATTGATACCAATACTTCAGAAACCCTTCCAAAAAATACAAGAGCAAGGAACACTTCTCACTTCATTATCTGGAGTCAGCATTTTACTGGGTCATCATACAAAGAGACACCACAAGAAAACAAAACGTCAGATCATTAACCCTTATGAATATAGACCCAAAAGTACTCAACAAAGCACAAGAAAATTCAATAAAACAACATATAAATACATATATACACTAAAGCTAAGTGAGACTTATCCTAGAAATGCAAGGTTTGTTTAACAGCAAAAAATTACTTAATGTAAAATACAATACTAATAGAAGAAAGGGCAAAGCATTTTCTTATGTTCTTTCTCAATGAACATAGAAAAAAAAAACTAACAAAAGCCCAACGCCCTTTTAAGATAAAAATGCTCACCAAACTAGAACTAGAAAAGAACCTTCTCAGCTTGATAAAGATCTTTATGGAAAGCCCACAGCTAATAGCATACTTAATAGTAAACAACTGAATGCTCTCCCCGTAAGATCAGGATTAAGATGAGAATGTGTATTCTTGCAACTTCTATTCAACATTGTAATGGAGGGTCTAGCCAGGGCAATTATTGAAGAAAAAGAAGTGAAAATGAAAGTCAAAGGTTGAAAAGGAAAAAGTAAAACTATCTCTATTTGCAGATGGCAAGATTTTGTATATATAAACTATTTACAATTTCACTGAAAAACTATTAAAACTGGTAAATGAGTTGAGTAAGTTTGCAGAATACAAGATCAATATGCTAAAATAAAATAAAATAACTGGGTTTCTATGCATTTTCAGTAAAATTTCAAAAATGAAATTAAGAAATCAATTTTGTTTATAATAATATTAAAGAGAACAAAATACTTAGGGATACATTTAATAAAATAAGTGCAAGACATACACCAACATCATTGAAGGAAATTAAAGATCTAATGAATAGAAAAATAGTCCATGTTCATGGATCAGATGACTTCATATTTTTTAAGATGTCCACGCTTCCCAATTTAACCCACAAGTATAAAACTATCCCAATCAAGTTACCAGCTGCTTTTGTTGCAGAAATGACTAATTGGTCCTTAAATTAATTTAGAAATGCAAGGGACCCCAAAAATTAAAACAATCTTGAGAAACAAGAAAAATGTTAGATAACTCAAACTTCCCAGTTTCAAAATTTACTACAAATCTATAGTAACCAAGAAAGTGTGGTACTGATACAAGGCTAGACGTATAGATCAATGAAACAAAATTGAGAGTGCATAAATAAACCATATTTTTACGATCAGTTGATGTTCAACAAAAGTACAATCACAATTTAATGAAGAAAGAATACTCTATTTAACAAATTGTGGAGGGACATCTGGACATCCACATACGAAAGAATAAATTTGGATCTCCACCACATAACACATACAGACATAAACTGAAAATGAATCATAAATCTAAATGTAAGAGCTAAAACACTAAAACTCTTAGAAGAAAACAAAAAAATAAACCTTTGTGGCTTTATGTCAAGTGATGGTGTCTTTGATACAACATCAAAAGCACAGGCAACAAAAGAAATAATATAAATTGGATTTAAAATTAAAAACTCTTATTTTGCAAATAATACCATCAAGAAGTGAAAAAGGCAAACCTCCTAATGGGAGAAAATAGTTACCTATACAAAAACCACAAAAATATAGTTATCTATACAATTGAATATTATTTGGCAATAAAGAATGAAGTATTGATACATGTTACAGCATAGATGAACCTTGAAACCATTATGCTAAGTGACAGAAATCAGTTTTGAAAGACTGCATACTGTAGGTTTACATTTACATAAAATTTTCAGAATAAGCAAATCTATAGAGACAGAGGGTAGATTAGTGGTTGCCTAGGGCTTGGAAGATGGGGGAAAGCAAAACATGAAAAAGAATGAGAAGGAGCTGCTAATGGGGATGGGGTTTCTTTGCAGGGATGAGGAGGAACAATAAAATGGTCTAAAATTAGATTGTTGTGCTGTTTGTACAACCCTGTGCACATACTGAACAAAACTGAATTTTAAGTTTTAAATGGATGAATTGTATGGTATACGAATTATATTTCCATAGAGCTGCTTAAAATGTATTGTTTGGGACTCTCTTTTCTACAGGGTAGAATTCAGTCACATCTCTACTAGACAAAATTCATTGTATTTCTTTAAGGAGGATCATTTGCGTTACTGTCAGTTTTCCACAAGTAAAATAACTTAGAAAATAGAAATTCAGTTAAAGAGAAACATCTCAATATAATCAGATATCCCCAGAGGATATCCTAGACAATGCTCAGCCCTCCACTGAATGGATACTCGGGTATCTCTTGCCCATTTCCAAGTCCTGCAATTTTCCTTGAAAAATATGAAGCTTGTTCTAACCACAGGACCTATGCCAGTTCTATCCCCTCTACTTTAAGCATTCTTCACACATATATTTACCTGGCTCATTCTCCTTTTTCATTCTGGTCTCTGCTAATCTGTTAACCTCTTATTAAAAGCTTCCCTAATCACATGTATTAGTTATGCTTAATACATTGTCCCACAAAGATGTGGCTTTAAACAACAAATACTATCTCAGAGTTTCTCTAGGTCAGGAATCCAGGATTATCTTACCTGGGTGGTTCTAGTTCAGGGTCTTTCCTTCCACTGCAGTCAGAATATTGGTAGGGGCTGTAATTATCTGAAGGTCTGACTGGGGCTGGAGAATCTGTTTCCTAGATGGCTCCTTTACATGGCTGTTGGCAGGAGGCCTCCATTCCTTGCCACATGAACCTCTTTATAAACTGTTTGAGTATCCTCACATGACAGCTAATTTCCCTAGAGGAGACAATCCAAAAACAAGAGGAAGAAGACACAGTGGCTTTATTATCCAGCCTGAAAGCCATACATCATCACTTCTACTTTATTCTATTTGCTAGAAAAAGTCACTAAGCCAAGCCCACACTCAAGGGGAGGTAGCTTAGGCTGCACCTTTTGAAGAGAGGGTGAAAGAGTTTGTGGACCTATTTTAAAGCACTATAACACACCCCTACACAAACACATCTCCTTGTCTGGTACTTTCTACTGCCTTATTTGATTTTTGCTTCCTTCATAACATTGGTATTATTATATTATATATGTATGTGTGAATTATTGCTTTCTCCATCACATTATAAGACCAATAAAAATATTGCATTATTTCACACTGAACACTCAGCACACAGAATAGTACAAGACATATATTAATTCAATGACTGTTTTCTTTCCTAATTAAATGAACATATAGATGAAGTTACAAATTACAGGGGCAGAACCATGCTTGGAAGCTAGGTACAATGACTCCTAACCTATGCCATTTCCCAGTATTTTACCCTTAGTGGAATTCTAATGGTTGAATGCACCTCAACAGTGATTCTGGGTGAGGAAAGAGATCTTCCCAGTCCTCCATGAAATCACTCAATTGAGACCTCTTCCACTCTTCACAGATCTAAAACAAACCCTGCTGACCAAAATTCAAGGAAGTCTTTCTTTGATCCATATGCACAAACAAAAACCCTCTCATCTTTTAAGAGTCTGCACGGGGCCTTGGAAGAGTGGGGTATGTCTGATACCCCACATTTTCTCCTCTCTTTGTAAAGAGGAAGTTTAATAGCACTGAAGCAGCCTGGAGCTCAGGGTTTAATACAAGCATTGCAACTGGGTTTAGGAATAAGAGACCTTGAATGCTACCTTGCTTGTTCACTCTTGTTTATTCAGGATTTAGCAGCATTTCTGAAGCCAAATGTTGATGCTCCTTGGCTCTGAAGAACAAGGAAATCCACACACAATTAGGAAGCAGACGGTAATGGAAAGTACACGGGATTGGGCATCCACATACTTTGTATCCATCACTAATTTGCTGAAAATTGTATTTTTCATACCTGTAAAATAGCAGGGTGTGGCTGAGGAGAGTATAGACAACTTCAAATTCCTATTCAGGTTCTACTGTTTTGTAAGTTCGGACATGTCTTAGCATACCTTGGATAGTCTTTGCCAGTTTCTTTCCAGGTATTTCAACAACAATCAGCATGGGATGCACTTGCATGTGCCTCTCCCTTCTCTAGCAGCCTTCAGATTCTAGGAAGATGATGTGTACAAAAGAAAAAAAAAAAAAGCCATTTCTCAGTGATCTTTTTAGTATACAGAAAAGTGATAGGAGACATGGAAGACAAACTGCCTACTTTCTGCACAATATGAGGCAAAACACCAACTTCAGGGGACTGGAGAATGGAAGTCTTAGCTCTTCCCTATCACCTCCCAGCCAGTGGGAAGTCAAAAAGAATGGTGACTCCCCATGCTTACAGAGGGCAGTGTTATTTCAAAGACTATGGTGAGTTCCCCAGCTCTCAGCAAGGGTGCCATCTAACCCCCAGCTCTCAGCAAGGGTGCCATCTCACCACTCCCCCTTGGTACCCTCAATGGAGCTTCTAAATCAACACCAAAGGAGGCGCAGTCTTTAGGGAAACTCCAAGCCTCAGGAACTACCTCATTAAACTGGTGTCTTAGCTGAAGCGACAGTAGTGGGGGTGAAGTGGCAACAACAAGATGTTCATATGCACCCTCTGATTAATTTACAGGGGGAAATTGTCTTATAACTTTCCACCTGAGTGTCTGCCTCTGCATAGCCATGGAGCAGTACCCTAGAAACAATAACAGTGATGATAACAATGAGAACAACACCCACTCTGTTTAAGCTCTAGCCCCAGGCAACCCCCTTACCTGATGTGACATCAGAAGGAAAGCACATGGGATTGTCTCCCTCGGGAATGTCTGGGAAATCCTATCCTTGCTTGGGTCTTGGGCTGCCACATTTCTATCAAAAGCAAAATGGAGAAAGAAGAATTTAAAAAGTTATTGGGAAGCAAGGAATAAGTGAAAGGAGAGAAAATTCAGTTTTTTGCTTTACAGCCTGTGATATATGCAAGCTAACCAATTAAAGAATATCAGAGCTAGAAACGTTCTCAGAGATGTAGTCCAATGTCCTCCTGTTTTAGATGAAGAAATACCACAGACAGGTGAAGGAATTCATTCACAATCTCATGGTGTGAGGACCACTTGATGGTTAGGAGTTATGGTTGCAGACAGAAATGAATGGGCCTGAAGAGTGTAAGAAACAGGTGGGAAAGCCAAGATACTGATTTCTATTGAGTTTTAGGAATCATGATCAATAGTATTAGTGACTCTTAAGGAGGGTGATAAAAGGGGCAGAGTCCAGGATGTTCTCAGATTTCTAGCATGGGAGACTGGGTACATCTTGGTGACATGTACTAAGATGGGAGAAACCAGAGAGGAAACAGGTCAAGAGATTGACACTGCGTGTCTTATTTGAGAAGGAAATTCAGTTGCAACACCCAATAATCAATTAGGGTTGGAACCCAGGAGAGAGGTTCCGATTTGAGAGACAACATTTACTGTGGGTGACAATCAAAGCCATGGGAATGGATGAGGTCTTTGAGAAATAATTTGTAAAAGGGAGTGGAGAACAGAGCATCTGAAAGAGATGGCTGCTTGAGAGGCAGAGAGAGAAAAAAGAAATGGGGAAACTGAGGAGTAGCCAGTTGGGTGGGGGGTAGAACCTGGAATAGGGATGTGGGAGTCAAGAACAGCTCACTGCAGAATGTAGCATCCATGGAGCCCACATGTGCTTAGCCAGGCTCTCAGACCTTTTGCTCTTTCCTGGTCAGGATAAGGCAGGAAAGTCTCCAACATAGTTGCTCTGATTTGCTCTCCTGCATGTCCCAATATGAAGTTTTGAGGCTCCTGAAGCAAAGTCAGTTTTCCCAGATACGACCCAGAGTGAATCCTCTAGAATCAGCCTCTGCTAAGAGATTTCCCAAATGCTCCATATAGCCCATTCGTAGTGTCCTGCATTGAGGGTCAGGTAAGGGTGCTGCTCATTCGGTATCTGTTAAATCACAATGACTCGGACTGTCTTGTGTTTAGAAGACTCACACAGAGCTTTGCAGAAAAGATGAGAGGAAGACAGAAGAGAGGAAAAAGAGTAAGGAAGAGCACGGGAAAAAAAGTAGTTAAAACAAATACCTAAATAGAAGTCTCTGTGCTTCCAAAGCTTTGATTTCTCAAGCAAAATGTTCCTTAGGTGAAAAAGCCACCCCTTATTCATTTTTCATTTTTACCTTTCTAGTGTTTGGTGTAAAGTAGGAGCATAAATCCTGTCCCATGAATTCATTCAAGAGTCCTAATGCTAATTCTATCACACAAACCAGCACAAAATGCCCAACCATTCAGTCTAACAGGGTTTGAGACCCAATGTGCTGCTCCTTCATGCTTCTCCTGAGAGCGATTTTCCTTGGTTACCCTCACCCTCCCTTTCATTGGGTTCCCCAAGCTCTGGCTTCTCCAAAGCATTTGAAGAATAAGTAGCCATTCTTCATGTGACCTGTTCATTTTTTTCAAAATGAAAAGTTGTACAAAGCATGCAGAAAAGCATAAAAATATGCATTGGTCTTAAGAAGCCCAGGGCTGTCCCAACAAATTACTCCCATAATTTTCCACTGTGGGTGCCCAGATGGGTTAGATGGTGCTCAAGATTCTTCAGCTTATTTCATGACTTATGCAGCCAGCTCCTCGGGAGGTATGGAAAATGAGAGAGCCCAGTCTGGAACCTCAAACCTTCAGACTGCCAAGGGCTGGTAGGATTTCCCCAGCATCCAATCTTCATCCTTAAAAGGGTCTGCTCTGCCAAGGACCCATTCTCTTGATTTCAGCTCAATGATCTTGTCTGCCTTGGCAGGGCCTGCTCACAACAAGCTTGGATGTCATGGAATTTCGGGGAAGAAAGAGGATTAAATACTTCTCCATGTTACTTCTTGCCCTCCCTGAAACAGTTGACTGGACTCTAACACTTAGTTTGGGGAAGAATTTTACCCTGAAGCCATCTGGCAAGGCAAAAGACATGTCTTTTCATATTCTGCTTTCCTTGGGAGTAATAGGCCAAGAGAGATTCATGTTTGCCTCACAAAGAGGAGGTGACCGTGGTTTCTGGAGACACCTCGCTTTAAGGCAGTGGAGTCAAGAGGGAAGAGGCTGGAAAAGCAGGATGCTTACTTTACCTCCACCCCTCACTCCCCTGGGGACTTGTCTATGGTCAAATCCCTAAAGACTCTCTTTTCACATTGATAAATCGGGGGCAAGAACCACATAGCTCACCTCAGTTTAGTAAGGCCAAAACAAGAGAGTAGTGAGCATTTGAGAAGCACTGACATGGAAATTATAAACAATGAAGCCCTCTATAAACAGGCTCTTGGCTGAGTTTTAGAGGAGGATTTCTTCATCTAGTTTGGGGCAAGTCAGTTCATCCATATAACTTGCACAAATCTGATCCAAAGTGTGCAACTCGATTCCTTCTGCATCTCCTTCCCTCACATTGCTCATTTCTACAGGACACAGTATATTTCAGCACATAACTGCACATCAAGTAAAACTGACTTGGAAGGGGTGGCAGCTAACCAGAATTTGAGTTCTTGTTCAGTGACATGGAATGTATGAAGCAAGGGCCTGGCTAAACAGCTTTATATAATACGACAGAGTAAAGTAGGGTAGCACCAACAAAGAAATCGCATAAGCCTTTGGAGCTTCTTGTTCTGACCAAGTTCACCTGTAGTGAGGAGAGAACACCCATTCATGGATCACTCAGGTGGTGACAAGGAGATGAGGTAATGCCTTTACTTTCACAGCATATGAGTGGCCTCTCTGGGCTGTGGGCAAAAGCTGCCATGGCCTGGAGGAAGGTCCTGCCATCTTGAAAGTGCCCCCATATCACCCTTCCACATTCCTTTTGTTTTTGTAAATGTATGTCTGTCTATATAATCTCTCCCTCTATCCTGGCAGGAAACTCATTTTGTAATGGAACAAAATCAGTAAGCCAGAATGTCCACTAAATCATTGTTGAGATATACAAAGGGGCTGGGTTGATACTTGGTGTAGAAGAAAGAAAGACAAAGTGGCCCTGAAGATGAGCCTGGGCCGAGAGAAAACAGATCAGGCGCCCTGAGACCTGGGAGGCACAAGCATGACGAATTTCTACCTTCTGTCTTGGGTACAATGTCAACCAAATGTGTCTTTCCACTTTACATCTCAAAACTCAGGTAATGGGTTAGGAAAGCTTAGTGTAACTGAGACAGAACTGAGGACAATGAAGTCTGCTGGCCTGGCTTCCCACTGTAATAACATACTGGACATTCATCTCAGCTAAGCCACTTCAGACAACAAAGGAAAGGTGTTAGGATATCAAATAATTAGGACTAGGCCTATGTCACTGCCGTACATTGTATTTATGCCTCACTGTGTAACACAGAGCAAGTCACTGCTCTCTGGAGTTTTTCATCTGTAAAATTATATTACAGCCAAGAACTGACCTACCAGAGGGCAAGAGAGTTCCAGCCCTTTAACACCCTAGTATTGCATTAGGGTTGCTCAACCCAAGGGTCATGATGCGTAACTCTCTGTCCATGGAGCGTCATTTGTGTGGCTACAATTTCCTGCTGTACCCCCAGCCCAACGCCAGGAAATCGCTCCTCTGTTTTTTATTGATCTTTTGTTCGTATGTGCTATTTCTTCTTTTCTTTGTAGGTTATGAGAAATGGAAGTAAAAGAGGAGGGCTAGTGATCTAGTAGGAACTGGATTTCAGTTTTGAATCTGAGCACTTGGTGACATGAGATAGGGTGTTGATAGGTTCACCCATCACCTAACAGCAGAGCAGGGAGAAGATAAGACGGAATGCCAAGCACAAGAATAGATTTCTGAAGGGTCCCAGGACCCATGCAGAGGGGCCAGACCCGCACAGATCCCTACAGTAACTTAGGAGCTGGCACGAGGCAGTGAATTTAGGGGCAGTCGGTCCTTCACTCGAGGTATGTCCCTTTATGGTCTAGCAGCCAGGTGTATGCCAGCTTTTCAGGGGCAGGCACTGAAAGCTGCTGTGGGAAGCAGAGCTGGCAGACCCTCCAGATTCTCAAAATTTCACCACTGTCCCTGGTATGTTGGCTAGGCCTGCCTCACTCCTTTCCCTCTTACTAACTCTCAAGAAAGGGATGCCAACCTGTCTGCTTTGTCTGGGAGACTTCCGCTGCATTTCTGAGAAATACTGGCTATTAAGAATACCTTCCGGCCTCGGGTCCTCCCCAGTTCAATCAGCCACAGACAGGGTATTTGTCCCCTCCTTACACCTTGAGGGACAATCCACCCACCTGCCTCCTCACTCTCAATGCTTACCCAGCCTAGGCTGGAGCCCACCTGAAATGCGGAGGGCCAGGACAACTCTATTCAGAAGCAGGGGGTATAGGAGACTTTGTAATGTTTGAGGCTTTGGGTTTCTGAAAATATCACTGTGTTTTTGCTAAGTCATGGCCAGTTTTCCTGATCTCCATTTTTCCTCCTACTACTTTTGCCCCTTTTGTCTAATCCTCATTCCTTGAAACTCAGATATCACAAAATGTCTCCTGGGAACAGATGCACTGAGGCACTGCTACTCTCTTTCTCTCTCTCTCCCTATCACTCTTTCTCTCTCTCTCTCTCTCTCTCTCTCACACACACACACACACACACACACACACACACAGAGGAAACCTCATGAAACCTACAGGAAAAAGTGTTAGGTTGGTGCAAAAGTACTTTGCGATTTTTGTCATTCCTTTTAATGGCAAAAAACACCATTACTTTTGCACCAACCTAATAATTGGCATATTCAATTACTTCTCAAGCGACTGATTGCCTAATTTTTTTTCCTTTTTAAAAAATGTACGTTCTATCTGTGGAAAACAATATATAGTTTTGTTTTTAAAATTATTCAAACTGAAAAGTACAAAAAAGTTTAAAAAATCACTCCAGTATTCCATTATTAAGACCACCCTTGTTATTTTTATGTAAGAATGATTCCTGTGATCTCTCAATGTATACTGATAGGCATAATTTTATAACAATGAGATCTTACTGCTGTGTACTTTTTAAAATCAAAAGTATTAAGTTTGTCTGAATTTAGACTAAGAAAAAGATTATTATAAACTTTTAAAAATTCCTAATATAAAAAATGTCACTTTCACACATGAAATATTCATTCCTAAAAGGAGTATTTTTGTTTGGGGTAGGGGGAGAAGCTGCAAAACTTTAAGATGTGGGAATCATGACATTTTTTAACTCATATATTTTAGACCCTGGCTTTTAGGGCCATGGCTTGTATTTTACACCTGTTTTAAAGCTATGTTCTTCAAAAATAAAATTAGAACCCACCAGATGTTTTAATTATTCTTTACACTCTTGCTTCAACACTTTTGCATCGTGCTTGCTATCTATATAACACTAAGAATCCCTTTCCACTGGGACAATAATCTAGAAAGGGGGAAGAGAAAGAGAGGTTAAGGAAGAGACTGAGAGGATCAGATCTCTAGAGAAAATCCATTTGAAGCAAGGTAGACTGGCTTTCTGCCTAATTCCCCCTTTCTTTTAGCAATAACAGTTTAATAATTAGCTTTAGCCAGATTTCTGGACAATTAGTCCTCCCACCACAACCCACCCTACACCATTGTGACTTGGAAAAAAAAATAACCCCATTTTAATGGTACTGATCTACTTACATATGTTCTTATAAAACTGCTTTAAAAATGGAGTATAAGTAAGTGTAACGCTTAGAAAGCTATGGGGCATGTTTCAGCGCCAAACCATCACTGAATTCAAAACAGCATGGGTACACAGGTATTCCAATCTGTACTCACATCTCTCCTAACATATTAGGATGTGCCATAGGATAGGTCAAGGTTGCTTATTAAACTTTCAATCTTGTTCTTTGGCATCCCAAACCCTCTGACCTCTCATACTTCCTACCCCAGGAGAACTTGCCCTTCCATCCACAGCATTTTATCCTGCCATCTTGGTCCCGCAATCTTCCCTCCTCCTTTTCTCCCCTTCCAGTGTGCTCCGCAGAAGTCATGAGCCTGGGCGCTTGCAGCTCCCGCTCAGGAATGCGCTTGCCTTGCTTTAGTCCTTTCTCTTATCAGAGAGGGGTGGGGAAGACAGAAGATGAGCAAATATGCCGTAAGAGGTGAAAGGCAGGGTCTGTCAGCTCCACTCTGCTGATGATTGGTGTCATGTTGCACTGGCTTTGTGGCTGGGCCCTTGTGAAATGTGGGAATAGTGGTGGGGTGAGGGACAGATTATTTGAAATTTACCATCTCTCTCCTGTTGGTTTTGTTGGTTTCTCTACTCCTAGAAGCAGAGGGAAAAGAGGTGGAAGTTAAATATGTGGTGATGGTACTACCTTTTAATCGGTGTCTCCAAATATCCTCCAGAGCCGATTGTCTCAGCATCGGCAAGCATGAAACGAGGGTCTTTTTAAAGATCATTTTCTTTCTTGGACCGAGGTTTCTTTGTTTGTGATTCTGAGTTCCATTCCTGTGTCTCTGTGGTGGGCCTTGAATAGAGGACTAGAAGGAGAAGAATAAGAAGAAAAGTATATATCAGGTGCTTTTAAAAAAATCAATTCAAACAAAAATTGCAAAAGGGTGTCTGGACAGCTAGGATGACAGTGACCAGAGCCGGAGAGAGGCTCTGCCTGGTAACAGAGCTCTGATTGGCCGGACCTGTACAAGGAATAGGCCTATAGCGACGGCTCTGAGCTGTGCTTCTGCAGGCAGCTGAACTTGGCAGGCCCCAGCAAGCCCTGCAAAGATAGACTCAAAACAATCCAGAGTACAGACAGCTGCTGGTAAGCAGAAGCTGTGAGTACTGACAGCACTTGGGGTTGTGAGCCTGCCACTTAACTCTACAGCCTACTGCCTCTGCCTCTTGTGGTTGGATTTCTGTCTTCCAGATGATTAACTCTTAGAGACGTGGTCTTACCAACAGTGGTAACACAGGCAGGGAGTGTCTTTGAAAAACAATTGGCCAGGGAGTCAGGTGCTGGGGTCTAGGTCTATACCAGGCATTAAATACTGTATGTGCATGAACAGGGGACTTACTGTCTGCTTGACACTGTGGTACATGCTCCACAACACCAATCCGTCATACGGCCCAAGGAGATAGAAACAGTTATGATCCCATTTTCCAGACAAGGGAACAGAATCAGGCCCAGCACGCAGTCTGCAAGTATTTGGGGGCATATGTGGACTCTCAACTATCTACCCGTCGACAGCAGTTCAGTGTCGACCGGAAAACAGGCTGCTCTAAGGCAATGATGCCTTCTGGCCAAGTTTGGGCTGAAATTGAAGTATTAGGTGGAGCCAATTGTTCCTCTTATTAAAAATAAAACACTGGGAGAAAATATGGAAAAACGATGACTATTTTTAAGTGAGGAATTAATAGACATTAATTAATAGATATTTGTATTCACAAATTGAGTACTTGAATGCAGTTTAAAATGAAGGGACTGGCCAGGTTTAGTGGCTTATGCCTGTAATCCCAGCACTCTGGGACGCCAAGGCGGGAGGATCACCTGAGGCCAGAAGTTCAAGACTAGCCTTGCCAACATGGTGAAATCCTGTCTCTACTAAAAATACAAAAATTAGCCTGGCATGGTGATGTGTGCCTGTAGTCCCAGCTACTCAGGAGGTTGAGGGAGGAGAATCGCTTGAACCCGGGAGGCGGAGGTTGAAGTGAGCCGAGATCACGCCACTGCACTCCAGCCTGGGTGACAGAGCAAGGCTCCACCTCAAAAAAAAAAAAAAAAAAAAAAAAAAGGGACTGTATCTATAAGCATGAAAACATATAGTTCAAAAACATATTGTTTACTGAAAACAAATTGCAAAACAATTCATACAGTGTATTATTCAGCCAAAATTTTAAAACTACAAAGCAATACCATCTATTGTCCGATACATAAAATCTATAATAAGCTAATAAAAACATGGCCTGGAATACTATATATCAAATTATTGACAGTGGTCATCGCTGGAGAGAAAGAAGCAAGACTAGGATGGAGAGGAGGAACGAAATGGTTTTCAACTTTCACTGTGAGATATACTATCTGAAGCCTAAGTGACAAAAAGTGAACACTTTGAATATGAGCAGGGGATATGTGTATCATATTATTCTTCTGTTTTTTTCTGAATTGGAAAAAAATAGGAGGATCTTTCCTGGGGGCGTCTTGATTATGCCATCCTGCTCATGTGATGGCAAGAAACTCATCCATGGTGCTATTGCTCCTAAAGTGTGTGTGCTGTTTTGAAATTAAAAGAAAGCAGGAAAAGTAAAGAGTCCTCTTTTCCAGAGAGAAAAACTTGCAGAACCTGTGGAGTTGTGTCCCCATGCTATTGAAAATCCTTACTCTTCCCTTCCCTTCTCAGCCAGAAAGCAGCCCTTCTTATTTTTTTTTTTTTATTTTTTGTACAGGGCTCCCAGTCAGCCTCCAGGGTCTATGTATGCTAATGTGATTGCTGTGTTATTCTAACCACTTCAAAAGTCATGTTCACTTATCTGTGAAAACAAGTTCTCATTCATTGCACCCTATTTGCCTTCATGTCTCAGGAAATAGGGATGGGCAAATCACGTGGCAGGTGGGAAGAAAATAAAGGAATGTTGTACACACACCCTACTCTGAAGACCAGAGTGGAAAGGGAACCTATCTGTGTATCCCAAGGAGGCTGTGAGCAGGAGAGAAAGACAGAAATACAGCAGAGAGATGTGACTTACATGTCCTAATCTCCCCACTCCTAAGGTGAACCCCAAGATTAGAAGGAGGCATAGTGAACATTTTCCAGCTAGATATGGAAGGAACCTGAGAATATTTGGAGGAGGTGACCAGTGACACTGTTTGCTAAACATATCTTTAGGGAGACAGGGAGCATCTTGGAGGAGCCCCACACAGAGCCATATTCAGCATGGCCTGAGTGAGGGCGGAAAGTTTAGCAGCGGAGCGGGAAAGTGACCAGCTACGCAAGCCTCCAGCAGCACTGCTTGCACTCCATGGCCTGCCTGGGGTGAACAGTGGACCTAAGGATTCATAGGTGCTCCAGAGAGGGACAAGGAGGTACTAAGAGGGCCCTGAGTTAAGAAAAAAATACCACATTGCCCCCAAATGCCACTGGGGACCAGTGGTGCAGAGTGAATCAACTGATGACTGTGATACACCGTTCAGTTTGTCCTCTGTCATCAGAATAAATATCAGATATCATCATCGAGGAAAGCACAAAGAAGAGAGAGCTTTTGAGAGCTGTTTACCTAGAATTTAAATTCATCATGTTCACTTTAGTACCTCTTTAAATGCTCAATTCCTGTGAAAACATGTATTGTAACCCAGTGCTCTCACTCTAAAAGCTGTGGTAGAAGGTGTGGAGTTTTAAGTGTGGAAGAGGGTATGTGGTAAATAGAAAAGGTAAATAGAAAGCTTTTTAAAACTCTGGGTCAATGCACACACATATCCACATGCAGAATGCACAAATGAACTCTACGAGGGCTCTGACACTAAGAAACTGGCAGTACCTGGACTACAGATTCAGCAGAAACAAGTCCACAAACTGAGCAGGCGGTTAATGAGCTTAGCATCCATCATCCCTGGCTCGAAGTATGGCCCTGGAATTCTTGGTTGCAATAAAATATAAAAGAGAACCTGAAAAGAAGCTTGGCTATGAGCAAGTAAGGCTTCCTTCATTTGCCTGGTCCCGCAGGCTCTCTGTTGCAGTGGCGGCAAGCCCACCCAGATGGGATGTGCTCTGCAACTTCAAGCAGCCCTGTCACCAGTGAGGGTGGCAGCAATGCTCCAGGCCCCTTGGGCAGGGGAGGTAAGAAGCCATGCCATCTGGTCCTGCCCCCCTTGCTAACCTGGGCAGCGGGTGCATTCCTCAGTTCCTTCTGACCCATGGGCTGTCCTGAAGTGAACTCTGCTCAACTCCATCCCCTCTGCTCGCCTGCTCCCTGCAGAGTGAGCCCGCCCCTTGCTGGCTAGGCCTTCCCTGCCTTATTTGGTTTAAATTACTTTTTTGAACTTTGGTCTCATTATTTTTGGACCGTCATTTGGTCTGGAAGATTTTCTTTCCACGGGTTCCTTCTGTTCTTCCTTTTCACCCTCTTGAATGCGCTTCCCAAGGCCTCTTTCTGCAGTTTCTTTTGGGTGGTTTTTATTACCTTCATGCATCTAATCTGAGTAGGGAGAAGCTCCAAGATCATTGTTATCTTCCCCCTTGGAATCCTGCTTGTTTGGTTGTTATGGGAGCTTCGCCGTTTAAAGGGCTGGGGAACTCTGCTTCTCCAGGAGCTCGTGACCCAGCTCCCAGAATGGCCTTTTCCAACACAACATGAGAAACCAGCTTCAGTGGCAACCCTGCAGGGCCACAGCCCATCCTCACTCTCAGAAACAGACCCGTAGATCTGGGGCCGCCCCTCTAGGAATACGCCTAAAGATACCATGGCACTACTTCTTTCTCTCCTCTGGTAGCAAGCGTTTGATTTTGTAGTTGAACTGGTTTGGATGGTTCAGGCTGCAAGTAACAGAATGTATCTCAACTGGCTTGAGCAATTAAGAAAACATTATCTTCCATAACAAAAGTCTATGGGTAGGACAATTCTGAGGCTGGTGAATTCAGAGTTGACTGACGTCAACAAGGCCCTGGTTCTTTCTGTCTTCCTGCTCTAGCACCCTCATGTCTAACCCATGGTCCCTGGGTTAGCTAACCTACTGGTGAAACATGACTACCATAATCTTACCCATTGCTATGGTCTGAGTGTTCGTGTTCCCCCAAATTTCTATGTTGAAACCTAACCACCAATGTGATAATATTAAAAGGTAGAGTCTTTGGCAAGTGATTCGGTTATGAGGGTGGAGGCTTCATGATTGGGATTAGTGCCTTTAAAAAAGAAGTTCCAGAGGCCTGTCTTGCCCCTTCCACCATGTGAGGACACAGTGAGAAGCACCATCTATTAACTGGGAAGCTGGCTTTCACCAGACATTGAATCTGCCAGTGCCTTGATCGTGGACTTCCTAGATTCCAGAACTGTAAGAAATAAATTTCTGTTGTTTATAAGCTACTTAGTTTATGGTACTTTGTTACAGAAGCCCAAAAGACCAAGACACCCAGACACCACAACATCCAACAGAAAAGAGAGCTCATCTATTCGCACATGAATCCACCTTTCATGGGAACCCCTCCCTGGGATAAGGCCTGCTCTCACATCTTATTGCCCATGCCCAAACCAATTTCTATCAAGAAGAACAGGACCACTATTGACTCGGATCAACCATAAATAAAGTTCTGGGGTTGAAGATGGGGCTCCTTCTTTCCAGAAGTTCGCAGCTTCACAGAGGAAGGCAGAGGCCTGAACGCACCAGTAGGCCTTTTAAAAGAGAGGAAAGGGGGAATGTGCTGATGGACAGACTCACAGCTCTGTCTGCTACCCTGTAAGGGAAAATCCAGATTTCTGCCATAAAATTTTTGTCCCTGTATTTCTGATTCACCCTACTTCTCTCCAGTAACTCTGATGTTTTTTGTTTTCTACTGTCTCTCTATTTTTTATGTCTCCCAGGGAGGCAGAATAGTATAGCAATTCAGTACTTGAATTTAGAGTTAATTAATCCTGGATTTGAGACCTAGCTCTACCATTTACTAGCTGGGAACTTTTTTCAAGTTACCTTATCTTATCTCTC